TCGCAAGCTAAACGGCAGCTCTCTCGATTTCCTCGAGACGCCATAGCGAAACTGATCGCGTGTATTATGTAATAAAATGTTATCAGTAACTGTTTTGTATATTTGTAAAAAAGAAGAAATACTCGTGTGTTACAAATTATCTAACAACATAAAGTTTGCGACGATTTCTTTCGCATTTTCGGAGACAGATATATTTAAACCGATACATACAAAAATAAAATTTAAATCAGAACCATACGTGGTCACGCAATTTAAAAATTCCTTAACTCGTATTAACGAATGCGCCAAAAGTTATTATTATAAAATGTACACGGTGTTCAGAAAATTACATGCCGCATAACACATTAAATTTTAATACACACAAGAAATTACATTCTTTACACAATGTATCACGATGGACTCGTGCGAGTCAAAAAATTGTGTGTGTATGTGTGTGTGTGTGTGTGTGTGCGCGCGCGTATGTGTATATGTATGTGTATGTGACGAGACTGGAAAGAACAATAATATAATTTCTTATCCTGATCGTTGAATTAATTGCTTACGTCTTTTCTTTTAACGCAATGTCTAAAGCACCAAATGTGTAAAACTAAATGTTACGAGAATCAGAAAAAGAACGTATAGGAATACAATGCACACAGAATAGCGCAGACACTCGATGATATTACGCATTTTATTGTTATTCTCAGTCCAGAGAGTTTGAAAAATGTTTTGAACGCGTAATAAAAAAACAGCGCGCAATGGAAATAAATGTCCGAAGTACGGTTCTGTAATCATTTTATAGAGAGAGGGTGTAAAAAAATTTTCGAAATTTATATTCCACAAGGTGTCTTGTATTCCTACCGTCTCTTCTCCGCGCGAAGAACTGAACCTGCTTTCTGGCTGTTTGACGAGCTCAATTCGAACGCGACGCGATCCTCGCGTGTGCGCCTTCCCGGTTCTCGCATTTAGCGCCTCGCTCGCAAAACCGAGAGAAAATCGGCCGGTCACCACCTACACTGCAGCCGATTGCTCCATCGCGCGCGATTTTCTCTCTCTCTCTTCCCCTCTCTTCCTTTCGCGTTTCGAGCACTTTATACTCATCGCTCGATGGACACGAATAAAAGAGCGAAGGCGAAACGACAACTGAGAAAACGAAGAAACGAGAAAAAAAAAATGAAAGAAAGATACGAGCGACGGTCGGGATAACGGTCGATCTTTATTCCACTTGAGCGGGTCGCGTCTCGGCTAGAAATCGAAGAGACACCTCGCCGAGGGTTCACCCACTGGAAACCGATCTCAGCTGACTGGTATTTGCGTCAGCGATACCATACCCGCGCGCCCATCCTTATAACCCACGTGGCCCAAGGTTGTCCGGTCGTGTCTCCGCGCGGTGTCCCCCCTGGCCTGGCGCGCGATTCCGCTCGGGCGATCCCTCGTCGTCGACGGCACTCGCGGCCACCGAGTCGCGAAATTATACGGATTTTCTGTAGGAAGATAGGCGCAAGCCGGGTAGCCGCGCGCGGCTGATTGCCAGGTGGTAGGTCAGGAAGACGTCGCTCCGGGCCTGGGCGTGGTCCCACGGTAGCACGCGAGGAAATGAACTGCGCATCCTCCGTTACCGCAGCTAGCAGGTTATTACGTAGTCCAATTTAGGACGTTAGCCCGAGGAACTTGCGAGAACAACGCCTCGTGATCAAACGTGTCTTCCCTTCTTCGGATCGCTCGGTGCGTTCCAGTTCCTGGACGCGCCGAGTCTTCCGTCGTGCGGGATCGGGTTCTCGGACGCGGATCGATCGTCCTCTTCTTGGTTTTTCTTTCAATCTTCTTGTTTCCTCGACCGATCGGAAGACTGACGTCTCGCCTCGGTATCAGATTGACGTTTCTACCGTGATACGCGCGTGCGCGCGGATTATATTTAGAGAACAACACTCGATAGAGATAAGAGATTACTTAGATAAGCGCATTACAAGAGTCGCGTCTTTCGTTTTTTTTTTGTTTTTTGTTTTTTTTTGTTTTTACATATTTGAACGCCTTACGTAGAACGCAATGTGAGCGAACGAAAAAGAACATTCTTGCCACATGTCGTACAATATCGTTACCCCTTGTAATCGGCCGAATTACATAAAACATTAAGAAGTGTTCGAAAGAGCGTGATCTCGTTGCCTCCCCTTTCCCCTACACCGCGTTGGTTGATACGCCCCCAGATTTTGGTGCTCTGCAATTGGTGCTTCGTGTGTCGAGTTGAAGTTCCTCTGATGAAGTGGCTCTGACGTCTGAGGTGTAGGCTCGGAATGCGGGGAGGGTGGAACAGAAGCGAAAAAAAACTCAAAGCAGGAACGAACGAAAACTAAATGCGAGGGTGTGGTAAAGGCGAATAAAAAAGTGATGGAACGCGAATCGACGGGAGTATCTTCACGTTTTAACACGTGACGACGATCGACAACGCGTAGGAATCGAAACGTTCGAAATAAACAACAGAGGAGGAACGGTTTTTTTTTCTTTTTTTCGGAGAAAGAACTTTCTGCGGTCGGTACAGTTGAGAGGCAGAGAAAAAACACAGAGAAAACTAACGCGTGTTCTACAGGGAGTTTTTAGGATAGTAGCTGGCCGGATGGCTTCTAGTACCTAGAGTAGCCATTTGAATAGCCATTTGAGTAGCCGTTGGAGCCCTTGTAGGGAACAGAGTGTATGCTCCTGGAACAGATATGGTCGAAATCGGAAGATGAGGAAAGTAACACTTCCAGGTATGGGGGGAGGGAAGACATCCTCTCTCGCTCTTCACCTTTTCTTTCTCTCACTCTCTCTCTCTCTCTCATTCTCACTCGCTAAATTCTCTCCCCCATCTATCAATCATTCCCGCCGCCTTGTTAGAGCGTGGGACCCGTGCGCGCTGTGTGTTAGTACAAGAAATAGCCGTCGATGAATAAGTCGTAGTGAAGGTAGTAAAAGTCGCAGTGAAGAAGTACGAAGTAGCGGAAGGAGGCAGACACAGAAGAAGAAAAACGTAGTGCAAGAAGTACAAGAACAAGAACAAGAAGTATACGCATGCATGAGGAGGATTCTTTTTTTCTTGTGGTGGCGGTACAGTTGTTGATCGCGAACTGTTGGTCGCGACCTCAGGGAAAAAATGCGGGTAATTCAAATGAGAGTGCGTGGTGGTGGTGGTGGTGGTGGTGGTGGTAGTTTTTGCTTTGTAATAAATGTAGTTTTGTATTCTATTGTTCTTATTGTTGTTCATGCTGTTCTATTGTTGTTGTTGTAGAAGTGTGCAATTTTTTGTATGTGTGTCAGGGGTGCAGGAGGTTCAGAGCTCCCGCTCACCGCCACCCACATCTACAACAGAACAGAAAACAAGACCACCGCCGTTACATACAAGGTATCCATTAGTATCCACCAGTATTGAAGATTTATTTTATCGCTCGCTCGTTCTCGAACGCGCTCTCGCGCACACGCGTTCCATGCGGGGGCAGCATTATTTCAGGCTGATTTATGGGTCGGGCCGCGATCCTGTGCGCGGGGTCCCCGCGCGACTCGCCGAACCGACTTTAACTCGCCGCCGACACTCGCGCCCGTAGGCGAGAGAGAAGCGAGTGCGAAGTTCGCGGGGATATCCCCCTTTCGCGAGGATCCTCTTCTCTCGGCTCTCGCCTCTATTCGCCGTTGAGAGGCGGGTGAAGGTGACACGTTGCAACATTACAAGGCTATCGATGCGAAAGGTCAACGCGGTAGCGGCCTTCTTCGGCCGAACCGAGATGGTTTTGACCTTCTCGAGGCCGGCACCGTGACCGCTTCTGCGATAATCAACGCGCATTTAACTTTCCCCGTTGACTTAACGACGTAGCAATGCAACGGGAATGCAATTTAGTGAAATAAAAAAAAAATAAAAAAAAACCGAAATAAATATATGCGATTAAGCCCGACGTAACGTCTTCTTCCTCGTATCGTGTGTTTCCCATGTTTTTACATGCATGGAACGCTTTGCGCGAGCGTCGCTAATTAAAACGGTTACAAAGATCACCGTGAGACGTTTTCGTGGGGATTAAGGAGTGCCTAATTCTCTCTGTCACCCGATACTATATCTTCATTTCATTCCGCGAAACTACTCTCTCGACAGCTCGTTCGAGATTCTCGTCGCGCGTCGAACGACGAGCTGTTTAACTGACCGAACGAGCCACCAAACCCAAGTTTCGAAATTGGTCACAAGATGAAGCACTGAACTTCAGTCATTCTTGTCGGTTTTTTTTTTCCTCGACTTTGCGAAAGGTCAACGCGGTGACCCGACCGGTTTCCGAGACGCATGCGCTGGTCTCGAACTTACGCGCGCGGTTGAGCAACTTCTTACGATTATCGAACAAGAGCAGATTCGAACGCGCTACGTAAAAAAATACCATACGCCGAGCGGCGACACACGGCGGCACAATTTTTGTCCTCACCCGTCCGCACTGTGCAACAAACGGGAAAATAATTGCGACGGGAAGATTACCATCGATAGAGAATCGATGACGCAAGTTGACGATAGTTAATTTTAGTCCAGCTCGACCTCTCGCGAGTCCTCTGGCTGACAGAACCGATCTCTCTGACGAGCGTGATTCGCTGTCGCCCGTCAAACGGCGAGGACACACGCGAGGGCACGAAAACGTCTCTCCGATCACTTTTTGAGTGCAGAGGTTTTCTGCAAGTGAGAGTCACACGCACTGATTCACGATCATCGGTCGTCGCGATGTTCCCATCGAAAAAACGTCAAAAAACCATGTCTCTGTTTCTCTTGCACAGTCATAATTCGCAAACGATTTACCCGACACGACCCTTCCAACGCGCGCGACGATCGCGGTGATCGATCATGGATCAGAGCGCGCGTTCCCGTGCGAGCGCACCACAAAAAAAAAAAAAAATCAGAAGTTCTTGAAAAGAAATAAAATAAAACAAAACAAACTAAAAACGAAAAAAAATCTCACTCAACAAAAAAATTTAAAAGATTCAAAAAACAAAAACAAAAACGTAATAACGAAGAAGTTGCGACGTTACCTGTGCTGCTTGAGGTTGTCCTGCCGCTTGAAGGACTTTCCGCAGACCTCGCAGGTGAAGGTCACGTCGTCCTTATGGCTGCGCTCGTGTATCATTAGGTTGTAGGGCTTGGTGAAGCGCCGCTGGCAGTATTTGCAAACGAACTCTACCGTGACTTTGGCGCGCATCTTTTGCCGCCGGCCGAACTCCCTGCCGTGCCCCTCTGTCTCCATCGGCATTATCGCGAACATCCTTATAAATTCTCCTTCTCTTCTGGTCGACGTTCTATCTTTCCTTTCCCTCTACTCGCCTCTCTCACGCTCTCTGTCTCTCTCTCTCTCCTTCTCGCTTTCGCGAATCGCCCGCAGTCGCTCCCACCACACGTCCGCTGTCTCCCTCTGTCTCCTTTCTCGCGCGCGGTGCAACTCCGTCACTCTCGCTCTCTTTTATCTCTCTTCTACTTTGTCGTGCAAAGACTCTGCGCGTCTCTCTATCTTCCTCGCACGGACACTCTTTCTCTCTATTTATCTGTCTTTCTTGACTCTGTCCGTTTCCTCGCTCTTCTCCTCCCGCGCAAGAGGCTAGTCCCCGACTCGACTCCTGGGAGTGAGATCACTGCTTATGTACCGCGTATACGCGAGAGAATCCTCGGTATCGCCGCCGTCGCCTGCAAAGAGCACAAGAATCGATGATTCCACGGATCCGACTCGCGCGGATCTGACACACCGGGGGAATCACCCGAGTCGCGAGCGAGCGCGGCGACTGTGTAATCGCGCGAGGGGGACACGACGACGACGACGACGACGACGACGACGACGTCCGCGCGAAACGCCGATCTACGAGCGACGGGTTGGTTAACATTGAAGCAACTTCTGAAGCATTTTGCATACCTCATGAACGCGTGGGTGGAGGAACATGACGCGACGCGCCTCGCGGGAATATCTCGAATCGAATTATCCGCGCGGTATCTCATTTAGGGACGATATGGGAAAAGTACTCTCGTGTAAAGGGTAACTCGGAAACTACCGCGCTTATCATTCGGAGAAAAGTTTATGCGACGCACTTACCGATTCGAAACGCGCACGATAATCTTGTTAGACTTTTATGTATATGTTTTATTTCGCAAGAGCTCGCGTCCCTTATCTCGTATTTTCCGTGTAAAGTGCGATTTCAACTTTATAACTTTGTAAGAGTTGTTAGAGAAATTTTTATTGCGTTTTTATGCAACCAGTGTGTACACGTGAGCACTTTTTGTTCAAAATCTAAAATAAAAGTTTTTTTTTTGTAATTACCCTATTTCATAAAACAGCTTCTAATACGCATAGTTTGTTTTTCTATATTTTAGTTTCAAAATAAAAAATAGAGTAGTAAAATAGTGAATTCTCAGACGAGATCATCTCTCGATAAACAGCTTTTATTTTACATCTACTTTCAAATCTATCTTCATAATAAATTTTTATCAACATGATACCCTTGAGACGTCTCCTAAATTCCAGAAATGATTTCAAGTTCTGATGCAATCAGATTCCATCGAATACCGACATTTTTGTGTAAGAAGAAATAAACTTTATTACACCGTGTATCATTTCTCCCTCTCTCTCTCTCTCTCTCTCTCTCTCAAAAAAAAAGAAAACTTATCATATATAATTTTACTGCGGCATAAAACACGATAATAAAGAAACAAATTAACTTGTACGAAATGAAATACGTTGGGAAAGTCGACTTGTTCTGTTGAATTTATTGTAACGTGCGAAAGTTTTTTGAAACGTAACGTATATTGCACGTTATGTATTATGCGAGGCAAATAGTTTGTATTTAACGCGATTTTTTATTAGCAAGTGGTTTTCCATGTAAGCCTTTCAGAAATCGATCTCTGTACTGGCGCGTCTCGAAGATAAAAGATCCATTAAAAAATACTTTTTTAAAAATCAAGTCAATTGTAGATAGACAACGCGTGATATTGTTGGGTTTAATATTTTTACGTATCTGCGTTTCGCTCAATTCAATCTATGGTAATTATGCAGTTATACGGACTATTTTCCGATCTCAACAATTTTGACATATGTTATCAAGGTCACCTCTCTGAATAATAATATGAAGGTTTTATCCGTCGCTCATTGTTTATAAAAAAGTTATGAACAAAAAAAGTTTGATGATTGAACTCTCGTTTTAAAT